GTTTTTCTTTCCCTCTCTGTCTCTCTCTGGTGAGCACACATGCCTTACAGCAGATTAAGAAATGATGATAAATAAAATTAAATAAATGATTATTTAATCAAAAAAGAATGGGGTCTGGGCCACTGTCTCATCCTAACTCTGGACCTCCATTGGACAAGCTCCTTAACTCTGTGAGTTAATCTTTTTCTTCATTTATAGAATGGGAATAGTAACAGTAGTTGTCTCATAGTGTTCTTGTGGGGGTTAAATAATACACACACACACACATCTCTACATACTGCCTTCAACATATATGATCAATAACATGACAAATACCATTAATAAATCTTAGTGAATATTTTTCATTCTTCCAATTATTAGGGTTAATTATCTGATTGTATTTACTACACACACACACACACACACTCACACACACTCACCCACACAGAAAGGAAAGGGAAAGCAAGAAAGCATCCTGGCAGTCGACCAATCTGATGAGCAATGCAAATGATCAATCAATAATTAGCATCTCTCATTTTCCCATTATTAGGATTAGCTTGTTGCCTGGTAGTTTTAATTACCCACACTGTCACAAGCTCTGAGAATCTGAATTCGGTTTCTGGCCACCTGAGTGTAAGCTAGCACTCACCAACTCCCTGGTCACCTTTTCCGGGAGGGTGGATTCTGAAGCTGCTATCTGAGCTTCCATCTGACTCTCGGTCCAGAGGAACTTGCCCTGCAGTTGCTGTTCCCATCCCCGTTTTGCCTCCTGGAAGAGCTGATTGATGCAAAGGCCCTGGGCGCCCTCTGCTGGCAGAGGCCATGCAGGACTCGCAGTGATCATCCAGGAAGCCACGTAGGGACGCAGAACCTGAGATTGTCCTGGTATTTGCAATTACTGTTTTGTCATTCAGTTTTTCTACATTCGTGCTCGCCTCCCTATCTCCCAGGGTTCCACACTTGCTAGCTAATTCTCATCCTTCCCCCTTCTCTCTCTTCTCATGCACTTCCTCAAGTTCTTCTTTGTAGAAGGTCAGAGGGAAGGGAAAGCCTTCCTCCAAGAGGGTGTGCGTGAGCAGGCTCCCTGCTTCTGTAGGTGGTGCACATGCTGCTTCCCTTTGTTCCTTTGGGTTAAGATTTTTCCTCCAGAGCTAAGACTGACTTGACCAGAAGACTGAAGGACTGGGAGAAGAGGGACAGAGGGCTAAAGAGGAAGGCGCTACCTGCCTTCTTCTGGAGTTATAAGAACATTTCCAGAGAACATTAAAATGGAGATGCCCAGATGGGAAAGTGAAAAGAAAGAAATTTGCTTTCAGATTTTGTTTCCCAAATGCACACAGCGTGTAAGTCCATGGCAATCACTTTACATCTCAGAGCCTTCACCCGCTCCCGCCAGTTAAATGGGGAATATGATCATGGCCATCTTGTGGCATTGATGTGAGGATCTGTGAAGTCACATTGCAGATCGAGCCCCTGCTGTGCCATCAGGTCGTCTTGAACAGCAGGTGCCTTCTTTCAGCTCTGGCTCAGTGCACCCCTGGGACTATAGCCCTTCCAGCTTTGACAGCCTGTGTCTGTCACAGTCAGGGCCTTCAAATCCTTGCACCTGAGCAGTGCTGAGGGATGTGGTTTCAGGGACTAGACCACTGGGGAGCTCTCATTCTCCAGCCATGAGGCCTTGGGAAGTTACACAACTTCTTCATGCTTTTGCTTTTCAATCTCTAACTTGGGGATCTTAAAAGCTACCTTTTAGGGTTGTGTGAGAACTAAATAAAAAGTACTGGCAGCTGTCCCCAGTGAATAGTAGGTGCTCAATAAAAGTCAGTTGCCTTTATTGCTACTTCATGAAGGCAAGCTGTGTAGCTTTTCCATTTTACAGATGAGAGTGTTAAGGATTGAGTGGTTTGCTCTGGGTTATCCAGCTAGGATGTGGTGTGGGCAGAACTAGAGCCCAATTTTCTTTCCTTCTTTCTATTTTTAATATTTATTTATTTATTTATGTTACTATTTTTTAATTTGATGAGAGAGAGAGAAAGGAAAGGGAAAGCAAGAAAGCAATCCACCAGGTTTGATACTCAAACCACACTTGGCCATATGGGAATCCAACGCCTTTAACCACCATGCCACCTGCCGGCCTCTAAGGATCCCCATTTTCAAGGCCATCACTAGCTCTTCACTTACAACCTCTTCTAAGAAGAAAACAAGTGCCTGGGGTTTGTTTTAGTCCCTTTTTGTTGCTAACAACTGAGTACTAGAAGTTAAACAACAACAACAACAACAAAACAGCTCATGATTTTGGAGGCCCACGGTCAAGAAACCACATCTGATGAGGGTCTTCTTGTTGGTGGGGACTCTCTACAGAGTCCTGAGGCAGCACAAGACATCACATGCTGAAGAGGCAAGAGTGAGCTTGTCTGTGTGTCCATACCTCTGCTCTGTTCTCACTCCCTCTCCTAATAAGTCCCCCAATATTCAGCAGTGACTATGTAATAGCACAATCACCATCCAAAGGCTCCACCTCTTAACCCATAGTCAGTTAAGTTTCCATCCTCTTAATACTGTCACAGCCAAATTTTAACATGTGAAATTGGGGGTTGGAGGAGGATATTCAAATGGTAGCAGGGTTTCATGGGGGAAAGGTCCCTTCTCCAGAAGAATTCAGCCCACCTGGAATTCCTGGTATCAGGTCCCCCGACTTTTCTGCTTGACCAATGTGTATATCTCCCACTAGGCGAAGATCTAGAGTAGAAGGGAGACTCCAATCTACCTCTGTATTCATAACATCCAGCACAGGGCTGCACCCTGAGTACATGCTTAGTGCACGCTACTTGGCTGACCAGAGCATGGAATACTTCTCCATCCCACCACACCTTTAAGGGAAGATGGTATCACCCGAGGCCCCCTCACAAGGGACATGTTAGAAAACAGTCCATTAGACTCTGGGTAGTGTTACATGCAATGTGGAGGCACTTCCATCATCTAGAAGGGCTGTATTTTTCTGTTCACTTTGCTGTTTCATGCTCCCAGATCTGCAGATATATCAAAGAACAACCACTGATGGGAGACCCATGATCACATGTAAACACAGACATAATGAGTATTATTCCACAGATGAGTATGACATATCCACATAAAGTAGCAAACTTTTGTGACAGATGTGGACCTAGAAACTCACGATCATGCACAGGCATGCCCAGGCACAGAGACCCAGACCCCAGAAAGACCTGGGTTCAACTTGGAGTCTCATTGTTACTTATCTGTAATTTAAAGATTAATAACTATCTTACAATGTTGTTGGGAATACTAAATTACAAAATGTATGTAAAGTGCTTAGTCAGATCCAAGCAAATTACAAGGAGTCAATAAACAGAGATGACAGGGCCAGCCCTGGGTGGCCTGGTGGGCGATGAAGGGAGCCAGATCCCACATGGCCAACCACATGATTCAAGTCTTAAACCCCCTGCTTATACCCCCAAATCCCTAAAGGATAGAGAAATGGAGGAAAACGGATTGCAGTGTGACCACACCACATTGGAGGTGCTTTCTCCCTCTCACTCTTCTCCTTTTCTCTCTGTTTCTCTTTTTCTGAAAAGTGCACACACCCACTGGCAAATTGAAACAAACAAACAAACAAACAAATAAAACAAATGACAGTGATGAAATACTAGTGGTGATGTTGGTGATGTTGAGTATGGGGGCAATGTTACCTCCTTTGGGCTCAGACACAGAGAAGATAGTCTCTAAATGAATTCAAATCGATGGTGAGCTTCAAAGGGGCTTGGGATCTGGCATGGGGATGTGGAATACAGGCAAGAAGGTGACCTAGGCCACTCGACATGTTTACAGCTGTGTTTGAATTGCCCAAGATCCAGGCTTCAAAGGCGTTGCTTGGCCATCATGTCTTATTGTTTTTGTCTTTTTGATTTTCATTTCAAGGTTGACCATTCCAGGTGGTGAAATGAAGTGATAAACATCCTCCCCTCCCTTTGTTTTTTCCCTCCCCCTTCTCTTCCCTCTCTTCCTCCTCTCCAGGTTGTAATTTGTGTCTCTAACTCTGAGGATCTCTGAATATGAAGTGCCCTCAGAAGTCAGATATAATACAGAAATGCCCTTAGTACTATCCGTGCCAACTGGACATCATTTCCTGCTGGAAGGAAGCTCAGCACCTCTCTTGGCAGACTGTTCCTTTGTTAGGCAGGTCTATTGTCTGGAAACACAAAGCCTGCCTCTCCTTGCTGGACTGTCACCAGCTTCCTCTTACATATACCTTTGTCAGGATTCAGTCTTCTGAGATCACCCAGGGATCTGTCTCCTCTTCTCTGAGATTGCCCTACCAGGAAGGGATAGAAGAAGCCAAAGAAGTTAGGGTGGGAGAAGAGCACTCTCCCGGGTCAGGAGACCTGGGTTTGAGGCTAGCCCATTGGTTGTCATCGGAAATGTCACTGCCCTTTGCCGGGCCTCAGTTTACCTATCTGTAAAAGGAGAAATTTGAACCAAAAGATCTCTTAGGGTTTTTCTCCTGTAACAAACATTCATGTTTCTTTCTTCAGCATAACCTTGGCCCCTGATTCTTCAAGTATTTCATGTTCTTAGTTTTTTTTACATCCTGGTTCACTATGGTCATTTATACAAGGGGACATTTAGCAGCCAAATACATAGTTTATAGAGCATCAGAGTGCCTTAAGCAACTGGCAACCTTATCCATTAAGTGTTAACAACAGCTCTGAGCCGTAAGTCTCTCTTTACAGACAAGGAAACTGAGCTTCTGAGAGAAACAATAGTTCGCTCAAGATTGTCCAGCCGGTTAAGCGGTGACACCCTGATTTGACACCCAACCTGCCCGACTATGGAGCCTGTCATTAACACCATGTTCTCCAAGCTGGGATGCAGAGAGCCAGAGACACTGCAGCAAAGTCCTTGGGTCTACATTCTAAAGACAGCTTCCAGCCTCCGTGCCCTGCAGCCCCCCGGCAGCCTCCTCCCTTTCCTCGATTTGCCAGTCTCTCTGCTTCTCTCCACAGGGAGAACAACTTCATCAAGGACTTTCCCCAGCTGGCTGATGGGCTGTTGGTGATCCCACTGCCGGTGGAAGAGCAGTGCCGGGGGGTCCTCTCTGAGCCCCTCCCAGACCTTCAGCTGCTCACTGGTAAGACATATGCGGGACCCTCCCAGGCTCTCTGGCCACACACCTGGTCTCCAAGTGTTTATGAATTCTACGCAGATCCAAGACTGGCCTGCTCTCCTTCATGTGAAATGGAATGAAAAAGGAACCAGGCATTTCTGGAGCTCCTGCTATGAGCTATGCAGTACAGGGGGCTTCCCTGAGACCGCAGACTTTGGGCCAGGGCCATCTTGAAGAAGTATTTCTGTGAGAACAGGAATTCTTTCTTTCTTTCTTTCTTTCTTTTTTTTCTAAGAAAGCTTATTTTGCTATAGGGGCGGAAAGATAGAGAGACAGAAAGCGAGAAATCACTCCTCCCACCCCCAAAGGGGATGGCCATGCTGCAATCCCATCTCCTCTCAGGATCTTGGGCATGCTTGCATACACACCCTGTGTGAATTTAAGCCATCAGGTCTGGGACTCGAACTGCAGGTGACTACATGGGAGTCCAGTGAAGTAACCATTACACTGATCCCAGGAATTCTTTCTTAATGAATGTTTTGCCTCTGACACTGAGTCTTATAATATTTTTCGCTGTCACTGACAATTTTCTGTTATGTTTGCACTTTCAGTATTTAGTTTTATTGGTTTATTTTAAAATCATTCTAAAGTGAAATTGATGGGCTCTCTAACCAGGAGTTTCTCCTGCTTGAATATACTGGAGTTACACAGCTCATTTTTATATGTGGACACTGAGCTGTTTGTTGGATGGATACTAGGTTTCCCCTTTTATAGATAAAGAATCCAGAATCAGAGAGGTGAAGAGATTAGCCTAAGGTCACACAGCAGGTCTACCAGAACCAGAACCTGGGTACTGTGGTATCAAATTGTTGCCCTTTGTGCTCCACTTTGTGGCTCCCCCTCTAACTTTCTATGTTCTTATTGGGGACCTATCTTCTGTGGGCTTCTCTGAGGCACTATGTTTTCTGTCTGTCCCATCCCAGTATGCCCTCCTGTGACCCACTGTCTCCACCCAGTTTCTCTCCCACCCTTTTCTTGGGGGGCCTTTCTAAAATATAAGGACCCTGACTCCGCCTTTGTTATTCTGTAATTGGATACTTCTGGGGGAGAATGGTCACTTCAATGGATGACTGAGCTCTCTCTCAGAGGGGAATTGTCCCCTGTGGAAAATCGTGCAATGTGAAAGATTGGTTTAAACACACCACCCTCCATCCCTTAGCCAGCCTAAAACCCCACCTGCTCTTGGAGACCCCAGGCAAGTCATCTACCCTCCATGAACCTTTCCTCTAAAATGGATAGACTCACTTGTGTTGACAGTCTCCTAGTCAGACACTTTGTATGTATTAACCTACAACTGTGCAGGAATGTTATTGTCTCCTTCTAAACTAGTTAAAGAGGCCAGGCAATTCTTCCAAAGTCACATGGCTAGTCTATAGTCACATCAAGATTTAAATATAGTCTGTCTTATCCGCAAATCTGAGACATATCCACTATCTTACATCACCCTCTTGATCTGTCCTACTTTGCAATGGGACCCAGATCAAATGAAATCATTGATGTAGAAATGCTTTATAAGATATGTCTAAAAATGTCTATGTCTTTCTTAATTTTCATTGTTCATAAGTTAGTAGAATTTCAGAGCTGACATGGTATATAAGGGTTTTCTGACCTCATCTTCCTGCAGATGAGGAACCAGGTCTACAACACTGCTATTGAAGGACTACCCTTCTTTGGATACCCCTGGTGGAGTTCACTGCTTTCTAGAGCAGACATTTTCATGGTACTTAGGGAGGAGTTGTGGTCTAATGGGAAGTCCTTTGGACCTACCACTGATTGCCTTATGTCTCCTTGAGCCTCAGTTTCTGTGGAGAATGACAATTATTTTTCAGGATTATGATGAGAAATAGAGATCATTTATATAAAATTCCTTATATACTATGATTCTCTGGTGGTGGCACAAATTGTTACAATGATATGTTTTGACTCAGGAATCTTTGGAGGTTTCCTAATAAAGGAACTGTTACATTTGTAAAGGTTTTGTTCAAAATATTTTAATTATCAGGAAAAATTCTCCCGCTACTGTAGAGCTCAATTCCATTCATAGACTATAGGTGAGGATTTGGGATAGAGCAAGATAAGATGGAGGTCAGAGACTGGGTAAGGCTGTATGATCAAGAATAGAAGGGGAGTGAGTGAATCAGTCCACAGATACTCACGGAGAGCCTACTGTGTTTCATTCTCAGTTCTAGGCTCTGCAGTAGAAGTAGGAATAATACAAACCACAGCCTCAACCTTGACAAGGTAACACTCCACTGGGAAAGTTTATATTCTAGGTCTGAGTCCAGGAAGGACCAAGGACAGGGTGAAAGTGAGGGATAGAGTGATGCCCACTTCTGTGGGATGTCTAAGGATAGGGTCAGGGGCAAAGAAAGTGGTTTTATAAAATAACTCGAGAGGAGCAAGCAGGTGGTGTAGTGGTGAAAGCACTGGACTCCCACATGGCTGACTGCTGTTCATGTCCCAGACCTGGTGGCTTAAAAGTCATGCTGAGCATTCCCAAAATCCTGAGAGGAGCCCAAGAGGAGAATGGAAGAGAAGGGCTTATTCTGTGGCCATCCCCCCTGATCAGTGATTTCTTTCCCTCTCTCTGTCTCTGTCTCTCTCTGGTGAGAGCACACACCCTATGGGGAAAAAAAAAACTAAATAAAATAAAATACATTTTAAATAATAGTAATGTGAGGACCAGCCCCATAGCTTGGTGGTTAAGGGAATTGATTCCCACATGGTCAACTGCAGTTTGAGTCCCAGCCTCGGTGATTTGAAAAATACTACCAGTGTGTGTGAGTGTGTGAGAAGTGGAGAAGGAGGGGCTGCAGTGTGACTTAGTTCCCCCCACCCCCCGCTCTTTCTCTGTCTTTCTCTGGCAAATGGACACACCTTCTGCCAATTAAAAAAAAAATTATCTTGATAATCAAAAGAAGTTGTCCTGGAGAAGGAAGGGCTGCTCTTTTTCTGTCTTCCTCTGGCAAATGGACACACCTTCTGCCAATTAAAAAAAAAATTATCTTGATAATCAAAAGAAGTTGTCCTTTTCTTATTTTGTTTTTCTTTTGGGTATCATGCCACCAAACAAAAGCACTGCCTCAGGAGCCTGCGTCAGACATTCTGCCTCCCTCTGCTGGAGATGGGCCTTGGTTGTCACTACCTCCACTAACCCTGTTTTGAACACAGTGAGCAGTGACAGAAGACTCAGAGGTGCCTGGACTTGGGTGGCTGAATCCTCTTCCACAGACGGTTTTCTCTCTCTTAGGCCAGAAACTGGGCCTGCTTCTACCTCCTTCCAGCCACTCTCCTGTGCTCCCCAGCCTCTGCAATGGAAGGACAAGAGATGCAGAGCAGATAAACAGAGAGGACATATTTATAACAAAACCTCGCTCCAGTGGACATATCTTCGGGGAGCATGAATATTTTACATTAAAATGAAAGCCTCTAAAAATTATATTATTCCTGAGAAGGCTAAGGAGGAAAAAAAAAAAAAAAGTTGACAGTAATGGAGAACTTTAATACTGCAGTAATGTCCAGGAAGAAATCACTGGTTCCAATGAGATTCTCATTTTAATCTTGGTATCAAATATCTCTTTAAGTGCCTCCTCACCAGGGGACAAGAGAAAAGGATAGAAAATGTGCCCGCTATTTGCAGAGGCACAAGAATGCACGGATCCATAACAACAGTAATAATAACTGCTGATGTGACTAGCATTTCATTGTTATGTATTTTCTTCCTGATTACAAAGGAAAGAGTTTGCAAAGCTTAGGGTAGAATATTTAGGAAATGGAGATGAATATCAATCAGAAAATAAGAATTTTCCGAACTCCCACTACCCAAAGTTAACCACCTGCTAACATTTTGTTGTGTTTTTCTTTATTTTTTATTATTACCTATGTTTTCAAAAAATGCCTTCTATGGAACACAAGTTCCAGTGGACCCTTTATACAAAAAAGGCTCCGTGTCAGACTTTACACACTACCTTCAAGGTACTGAGAAATGATAAAGCTTGGCTTTGTTTAGCCGTTGTTTCTGAGTCTTACTTGAATTGGGAAACTTTACGAGTATGACCAGATCTTTTTTGTAACACTTATGAATGTCTACATTTTCATGCTAAGAAACAAGGGTATACACAGGGGTCAGCAAACATAAAAGAGCAGATTATCTTTTTTTTTTGTTTTAATTTTTATTATAGGGTGCATGCACTTAACAGAGGAAAAAATAGAGAGAAAGAGAAAGTAAGAAAGCTCTCCTAAGGGGGTAATCCCACTGCAGTCCCTTCTCCATTCTCATCTCAGTTTGGGGGACACACACACACACACACACACACACACACACACACTCAGCATGTTCTTAAAGCTGCTGAGTCCGGGACTTGAACCATGCATTTGGCCATGTGAATTCAGCTGCCCCAACCACCACACCACCAATTGGCTCAAAAGCACAGATCATCTTATTTGAGCCTCACAACATGCTTGTAAAACAAGGATCGCAGAGATGGCTGCAGTATCAGGTGGGGAACTGAGGCTCTGGGAGATCTAGTATCTCATGGCAAGTTGCCAAGGTTAGGCAGGACATATATCTGAACAGGTAGATGCTCTTGATTGTAGGCTAAAGAAGCCTTGCAAGTTGTTGAGCAGAGAAGGAAGTTAGGACTGGGGCTGAAATCACTGTCCAAGAAGAGACTCCGAGGTAGGGCCCAGATAAAAGCCTACGCTTTGAAGAGATGGCCATTACCCAGAGCCAGGAGCTGCTAGGTTACAGCACTGTGGTATGAAATGTGCACATTCTGAGCTCATGTGATCATTGTATTTCCTCTCCCAGGAGACGTCAGGTATGACGAAGCCATGGGTTACCCCATGGTGCAGCAATGGCGGGTCCGGAGCAACCTCTACCGTGTGAAACTCAGCACCATCACCCTCTCAGCAGGTGAGGACCCCTCCCTAGTCATCCAAAGCACTTGAAGTAACTCAGCACAGGTTCCCAAGGACCTAGGGTGTACCAGGCCCTGTGCTGTCATTGGAGGTCTTGAGAGAATGTGTGTACACCCTCCTTGCCATCAAGAGACTCCTGGGAGGACAGGTAGACAAGCTGATGGACAGTGACATCAATAGGCTGTAGTAGGGTGAATGCAATAATGCAGAGCAGTAGCCCAAAAGAGAGAGCTGTCCATTTTGGGGACTCGGAAACCCTCCTGGAGCAAGGGCTATCTGAGCAGGCTGAGAAAGTATGAACACGAGGATGGGGACACGTAACAATCTCAGTCACATTTATATTCCTGAAGTATTTCAGGCTTGTGGACTATAATGTCTTCTCCGACACCAGTTCCAGTTATCTTCTGGCTCATTTATTTTCTTGCCCATCTCTTATCCAAAAATATCACACAACCTCCACCCTTCCATCCACCCCACGCAAGCATTACTTGCACTTTACCCATGTGAACACTAAACTCCAACAGATGGGACAACCTATAGTGCTCAGAATGAGACATGTTTCATGCATCTGTGATTTCACACATGCTCTTCTTTTTGCCTACATCTCTTTGCCTGGGGAACTTTGTGATATCTACCCCTATTCTCTGTTCTCCCAAAACAACACGAAAAATTCCCTGTGCGTCAGTCCCTGTATGGGAGGGCCAACAAGTGCTTGATTCATATCTGAATCTTATCTGTATCCCCCATTGACCTGAAAACTCTGGCCAGGACTTGGGTCTTATTTATTCCAGAATCTCCAGTAACTCACAGTATCACCACATTCTTGGCACTCATGATTGATGAAGGAATAGGAAGATAAATGAAGGGGGCCAGCATTTGGCATGGTGGTTAAGGCGCCAGACTCCCACATGGCTGACCATGGTTTGAATCCTGGATCCAGTGGCTTGAAAATACACTGGGCATGTGTGTGAGTGTGTGTGAGAGTGGGTGGGTGCATGCGTGCACACGCACGTGTGCCAAAGATTCCCAAGAAGATAATTGAGGAGAAGAGATTGTGGCATGACTATCCTCCCTGAGGAGTGGGGGTAATTTCTCACTTTTCCTCTCTCTGCCTCTATCTCTGTCTCTGTGGCAAGCACATGTGCTCTATAGCAAAAAAAAAAAAAATCTTAAAATAAAAAACATTTTTTAAGTAAATGAAAACTGGGGCCAAATGGTAGTGCAGCAGTAAAATGGAGCACTCTGTGAAGCAAACCCACGGGGGAAGGAGGACAGTCTCCTGAAGACTCCCTGACTAAACTGGGCATGCACGTGTTCATAATCTGGGAGGGCAGAGGCTGGGGTCGGTTATGGCTTTAAGACCCTGTTAAAGGTGCTTTATCTGTTTCTGTCACTCAATGTGAAATGATAAATGGATGAAATGATAAAGGATGATAAATGAAAGCTAAAGAATAAGAATAAAACTAAGGGGGCTGGCAGGTGGTGTGGTGGTGAAGGTGCTGGACTCCCAGATGGCTGACCACGGTTCAAGTCCAGGACCTGGCAGCTTGCTTTCTCACTTTCCCTTTCTTTCTCTTTCTCTCTCTGGTCAAATTAATAATAATAATAATAGAATAATAATAATAAATAAAATAATTCTAAAAAACAATCAAATTAAGAATAAGAATAAAGAGTAAGAAATGAATCAAGGACTATAGAAGGAAGAGAGCTGACCTGGAGTGTTCTACCCTGGTTCACACTCATAACACTGTTATTGGTTTATTGTCTGGCTGTCCCCTAATTATCTGCAAGTTCTTTTCTTATCATTTTTTTTTTCTTTTCGACTTCACTTTGTTCATCAGCAAAATGGACGTCTTTTATGTTGGGAATGAGAGGACTTCATGCTCTGGGAAATACAAGTAGTAATTAATGCTGACATCTGTCAAGCATTTTACAATGTTTATGTCTTATGACTTAACAACAGTCCTGAGCAGAAAGCATTATTTCTCCCGTTTTTCTTTAGATAAGGAAACTGAGGGTCAGAGAGATCAAATAAGTTGTCCAAGGTCAGTGAAAAAGAGGGAACAGAACAGATTTGATTACAGTGTTGTCTGCTTGGATCAAAATCCATAGGGCATCTCCATAGTGCTGTTATTTATCACTTTATGGAAACGATCTCATTATTAACACTGCTGTATTAATTACCCATTGCGTGAGTTAACAGGTTGATGGAGAGGGGTTGTTCTCATCAAGTGCCCATTCTTTGAGCCCTATTTCTGTTTTCCCTACCACCCCCTCACATTGCACTTGTGAATAAGACGGTGATGTTCTTATTAGAACTACAAAGGTGTATCTGGCTTAATTAATCAATAATGATGCTCCTGGAAACTCCCTTGTAAATCAAATGTTGGTAAATTGGAGCTCACTTTTAAAATTGAAGAGGAATTTGCTCTTTTACATTTCACTTTGATGTGGAACAGAACTGGTGTTCTCGTAGTAATCGTGGTTGGTGTTGTTTCCTGTCTCTTAGGAACTGTGCAGTGTACCTAGGTGGGGACAGGAGGTGGGGGTAGGGGATGTGGAGAGGATGCACATGCAGGTTCAGAGACAAATAAGACAGGGCTTCTGCCTTCAAAGTGGTACATGTTCAAAGTGTAGGGAGTAGATGCTTCTGGCCAGAATGGTGTGAAAGATTTCTTGGGGCAGGAGTGACTTCCAGGGACCTTAAAGCATGGGTGTGACTACTTAGGGAGGATGTAGGGAAGCCATTTCAGGGGCATGTTTGTGTTGAAGATGTGAAAAAGAAAGGCTGATGTAAATCACCGGTCACATTCAGGATAAGTAAGAATATTGATTTGGCTGGAGCTAAAGTCTGGTGTGGGTGGCTTATGGGAGATGACCCTGGAGGCCTTAGATGGCCAGGTAAGGTCATTGAGCTTTATGCAGTAGCAGAAAGGTCTTAATGCTCCTGGAAAAACAGTTTGATCAGGTGCCCGTTTGAAGGAGTAGGGTGTTGAGTGGTTGCTGTGCAGGCTCTGTACTAGGTGCTGAGGACTAAGGGAACTGGAGGATTAAGAAGGTTCTGTGTTATCTAAGAGAGAACATATCACTGTATCAGGAAGGCAACAGCAAGGAGAGAAAGGGAAATCATGTTTTTGGAAGCTAAAGCAGGGGTCAGATATGTGGGCACAGAAAACATGCTGAGTCTGGGCAGTTCCAGGACTCCATCCATGACAGTTCAGCCCTGTTTGTTTGTTTGTTTGTTTGGTGTGTGTGTGTTTTAATTGTTGTTGTTTTGTTTTGTTTTTTGGTGCAGAGGAAAATGCATGCACTTTGGGGGTAGAACAGAAGTAGGTTTGAATATAGCTCCTCTAGCTGGAGGGCCAGGGTAAGTCACTTATAGCTTCACCTTGCTCATCAACAAAGTAGGGGGCATTGTTGTCAAGGTTATAATTTTGTAGGTAAGGTTAAATGAGATGAAGAGGGTGAAATATCTAGCACTTTCCCTGGTGCATGTTAGCTGCTCAGTCAGTAGATACCAACTTTGACTTCCTGATATATAACTTTCAAGTCCCACTATCTAGGCCACCAAGTTTAGACCTTCTTCTGCTGAAGATTCCCTCTTGATCATAGTGTTTTGTGTGTCCACCTGAGAGAGCATTCTTTGCCATGTAAGTGAGGGAGTGATGTGCATGTTTGGATTCGTGCAGGCACCAAGATGACACTGCAGTGAGGGAGAAAGCACACGATCCAGGCTGGGAAGAGCCCCCTGCTACTATATAATTTGCTAGCCATCAGCACCTCCCAGTCTGACTACTTCCACATGCTCCTTCTCTGTCTAGGCTTCACCAACGTCCTCAAGATACTGACCAAGGAGAGCAGCCGGGAAGAGTTGCTGTCCTTTATCCAGCACTATGGCTCCCACTACATCGCAGAGGCGCTCTATGGCTCAGAGCTCACCTGCATCATCCACTTCCCCAGCAAGAAGGTGCAGCAGCAGCTGTGGCTCCAGTACCAGAAAGGTAAGCCTGGAGAGCCTGATGGAGGCAGTGTCCAGGTTGGGTATAGAGGGCTGGTGGCTGGGGTGACAACTGAGCTCCCTCAGGTCTTAGTTCTGGCTCTGCTAAGTGGAAGCAATGTGGCCTTAGGCAAGTCCCTGACTCTCTCTGGGCTTTGATTTCACAATGAGCAGAGGAAAGGATCATAGGATGACTTCGCAGGATACATTCAGTTTAGGCATTTTCTGAGTCCCCAAGTTAGTGCTTTGATTTCCAGAACTCTTTCCTTCTACTGCAGGATCTTTGCTTCCTGCTCCTTCTTGAAACAACTGCTGGAGATATGGTGGGGTGGTCAGGGATCTGTGTCTCCTTGACACTTTCTTCTTTCTGGAGCTCTTGCAAGAAGTCAAGAAGAGCTCTGGCTCTGCTGGAAAAGATCATGTCATGTCCAAGGGGATAGTTTCTAGTCTGTCCCAGGAAGAGACTTTTATCCTTAGAAGGGCCACCAGATCTTATGTTCCTCTGATTTTCAGCTATTATCACAATTGGAATTCTCCAGACCAGGTGTAGGAGACTGACCTGTCTCTGCTATTCAAGTCATTCCCTCCCTATCCTGGTTTTCCCTTCCTATGAAATGGGCATTAAATAGTGATTCCTGTTTTGCTTCTCACATTGATGGGAAGTGATTTATGCGATAGCATTTTGAGAAAGTGAGTAATATTACACACATACAAATAGGTATTTTAGTAGGTCAATGCATTCATACCCTCATTTCACAACTGACAAAGTGAATCTCAGACATGCCATATAGCTAATAAGTAGCAGGGTCAGGATTAGAACCAAGACTGGCTGGTAGCAAAAGCCCTTGCTTTTTCCTCTCTTCCAACTATACTGAAGCGTTTCTTGTTGTAATTTACATCATGATTATCAATTAATGTTAAAAATAAAGGCTCTTAGTTGTTGGAAACAGCGCGTAGTGATGTTAACACCTTATAGGCATCTTCTTATGGTGCAGCCACTCTATTTCCAATAATTAGATCAACTGTAATTCATAGAACCACAGAATGTGGGAGCCAGGAAAGACCTTACAGGTCTTATTGAGCTCAACACTCCAGTTTTGCAGTTGGGAAAACTAAGACTAGAAGGGAGGAAAAGCTTGCTCAGAGTCACATGTCCCCACTTGCCAAGGGCCAAGACAGGTTGAAGCTGCTCCACATCCCCATCTAGAGCTGCTCATGCTGCCACAGATCCCCAGCTGGATGAAGCCACCCACCTTTGCCAGAATCTTCACTTTACATCAGTCATGCTCTCACCCCTCCCTGCCTTCTGTGTGCAACTGCGTGGGGCACGGGATGGTTTATAGGCACAGGGGACATAATTGAGTTGTCTGGGAATAGCTTCGTTTTATGGCTGTGACAATGACAGTCTTTAAGGAAGTGCATTAAATCAATAGAAGTCTCATTGCACTACCCTATAAATAATGTGACACATCATTAAGCAGGGCAATAAGCTTCAGGACTTTGAAGTAATACAATTAGGTTATGTTTATAAAAACCTTTGTGCACTGTGGCCGCCGAACTAATTTGCTTCTTAGCACTTCTGGGGCCTGGGACACCAAGCTCAAGTTAAATCATACCCCATCTTCATCTGTGGCTTCTTCCAGGCCTTGGACTTTCTCATTCCATAAAACTCCCTTCTTTATATCATGGATGCATGGAATATGTTATAAGTAACATGGGAGATAGGGGTAGACAGAATGCTGAAACAGGAACCACTGCCCCTTTCAAGACCTGGGCTTCCCACACACTTGCTGGCTTAACTTGGTGTCACAGCTCTCTCTGGGCTTCTAGTTTGTAAAGGCATTTTTATCCCCTCTGTCATGCATACTTGCTCTCAACAATAACACAAGAATACATGGAGGCCAATTTAACTGTTCGTGTGTTTCTTCCTCCCCATCTCCACCTGCCATGACCACTTAGATGGTACATCAAACACTCTGGCTTTATTTATTTATTTTTTTATTTGGGAGTGCTGCTGGGAAGTAGGGGGGTGAAATTCTGAGAATTATTCTCTGCAAAACTGAGAGAACCTTTTGACTGCAGAGATAGTTGCTTTCCATTCTCTATCTAGCCATTGACTATGTTACTGGCATATGCTAACCACAGGGAAGCAGGACAGGATGAATCTGGACATGGAGACTGATAACTGTGGGGGTAGAGCTTATAGGAGAGAGAGTACAGCATGGAAGTGGGATGATAGGACATCATGACTTGACTCCTCTTCCCACATACCTCCCAGGTAACCCTGAGCAAAATAACTTCCAAGTGTCAGTTTCCATACATGTTAAATGAGGGGCAGTAATTCTTTTACACAGATTTTGGCAGAATGAAATAAAATAACGCAAGTAGAATGCCTGGCACAGAGTAGGTACACAAAGAACAGTAGCTTGAAACAAAACAGAAATCGAGGGTATCCTGTGAGGATTCTAGTCCTGGCTCTGGTCCTTGCTAATGTGTGATCTCAATCCTCATTTCTCCCTGTGAATCACACATGTCACCGAAAAAGGACAATCCCAAAATTTACAGCAAAATGGAGAGACAAAGAATTTATCTGGAAGCAAAGACTGCAATTAACATGGGTTTTACACATTTGCAGCCTCAGTGACCCCTGTGGAAAGACATTCTCCATGTAAAGCTTGCACTGCTCTTGAGTGTAGATTGGAAGAGTCCATGGTATAAAGATATCCCACAGATAGATAGTCCTTCCAACTCAGAGTGGGGTATGTAGGAGGGAGATTTTCAGGGTTCTTTGAAATGTAGGCTTCAGAAATGGCTTCTTGATTGGAAGGTTCAAGCCTGGAAGAGCAGGTGGTTAAACATAGGCCAAAGAGGGCATGGAAACAATCATCTGCATGTATATACTCTACCCAAACTCATTCCAGGAAGCTCCAGGCAAGATTTGCATGGATATCCTCCAGCCTGTCAGTCTCTTTTAACCATTGCCTCTGCCCCACGCCTTTCTCCATGGACCATGTGAAGTTCTCAGCCTCCTTCCCTGCAAAACAGTTGTTGCGTGCTCCTGTGCTCTTGATCGTCCTTTCTCCCACTAAAACTCCATTTTACCTTTTGACCTGATATTAACATGTCATCTGCAATCATGACCTTGATACATGAGCCTTACATCATGAGTAGGGCTCCTTGTGTACAGTTGTCCTTCCTCTGGCCACCTTGGATAAAAAATACCTTCATCTGGAGACAAAGCACAAGTTTTGAAGTCAGATGGACCTCCACATAAATCCCGGATTTACCGTTCACCAGCTGTGTGATATTGGGCAAACAGACTCACTCTCAGAGTTGTTTTCCTATAGGCAAAATGCAGGGTCATTGTGTAAATTAAATAAGAAAACACATCAGTGGATGGACCCATCTAGCACTGACTTGTGCTCCTAAGTATTATTTTGATCCAACCCATCCCCTCTACCTGTGACTGCCAAATCTTCTTAGATTGCTGTGTTCCCAGGTGCACGTGTGTATGTATGGCAGGAGTTAACTCAGGACCAAGGACAGGGGTAGATTGACCTGGGATGGGAAGAGACCTCCGTGAGCTGGGCTGCAGATCTGTAGCTAGGGAAGGGAGGGGCTCAGGAAGGGGCTAAGGAGGAATTAAAAGGATTCTGGAACTTTTACCATCCTCTCTCATTCTCTTCGTAGGGAGAACAGCGACAGATTCTGAAGTTGCCAATCTGATAGGCTCCTTGAATTTTCAGTTATCTTCTTTTTTTGAGGAGAAAGCGTCTTTGGAAGGTGTAGGGTGTGCATATGTGAAGGAATTGTTCTTTCTCTTTGTGTGTGTGGGGGGGGTGAGAAAGTGAAAAGTGACTGAGAGAGGGGGAGGAGGAAACATAAGAGCGGCAATAGACAAAAGCAACCTAAAATTTACAGCAAAAAGGAGAGACAAAGAATCTGGAAACAAAAGACTGCAATTAACATGGGTTATCCATATTTACAGCCTCAGTGACCCCTGTGGAAGGACATTCTCCATGTAAAACTTGCACTGCTCTTGAGTGTAGATTGGGAGAGTCCATGGCATAAAGATGTCCCCACAGATAAAACTGTCTCCACTTTTAAAAGACATTTTATCTCTATTATAATTTTTTCAAGACTGTCCCAGGAATGCATTTCTGCATTTCCATTTGAATTACAATGCACTTTTGAATGTCAGCTGAAGCATTCCTAGACTACTTTTTAAAGGAGTCTTTGGCTGTTTGAAAGGCAGCCTAGGGGTTGGGAGTGGCGGGAGGAGAAAGAAAAGGCATAGGCAAATGTCACCTCCTCTTGTGAGGACAGGTGTGGCCAAGGGACTGATGGGAGAGGAGAAATCTCCATTTCCTGAGGGAACCAGCTTCAAAGACAACAAGACATGGAAGGGGTTGTTCTCAGAATCTGAGACCTGCAGGGTACTAGTTTACTTTTCCCAGTGATTTAATAACCTGGGGACAGTTTTCAGTTCCCATCTTGCTTGACCTTTCAGTAGCATTCGACAGAGTTGACTGTGTCCTGCTTGAGGCACTGTGCTTGTTGCTATGGCACCAAGTCTTTCCATCTCGAGCCGCCTTCCTGCCTGTTACTTCTGTATCTCCTCTGTAGGCTCGTCCTCTCTGCTAAACCAGTGTATGTTGTTATTTCATAGGAGCCTGTGGTATAGACCCTTTTGCCTAGACGGTCTCTATGGGCAATCTCAATCATGCTCTCTGTCGTCCTCCCTGTAATGCTTTTACTTTATACCTCTAACCCCAAACATTCCTCTCAGTCTCCTACTGTGCTTGCTTCCCTGCCTTCCCAAATGTCACGTCCTACAACGTTTAAAGTTCTAGTGGAAAGGACTGTTATCTGTTTAGAGGAAAAGAAAGAAACCAAGGAAGGATTCATTACATTCTCTCATTCAGTGGTATCCCTTGGCTACTCATAACCCCAGTTTGTAATTCCACATGCATTAGTTTATGTCTGTCTGTCTGTCTGTTACTG